GTAATATAAATTAAACATTTATAATTAACAATAATGAATTTAATGTTCATTTTCAACTTTCATTCATGATAATAACTCATTAATTTTATCATTAATCATTATATTTATTTTCTTATTATTTTCTTTATTCTTTCTTTTATCATTTTCATTTTATATTTATTTTATTTCAATTTCAATTTCATCAACAGATATATTCATTTAATACAGAAATCGAAGTAGAAAGATATAACTAATAATGTACAAATATCTTCTTCTCATATTTAATCACAAATATTTCCATCTAATAATATTTTCTACTATTTTTTACGTTTTAAACAATTAACAAGAATTAATTTGCAACATGATAATTCATTTCAATGAACTATCAAACATAAACACCATGTTTTAAACAAACAATAATGACAATCATTACATTTATACAACAATTATGAAATAATTAACAATATCACAAATCAATATAATAATATAAAGATGAATACGAATAAAATGCATAATTTCGTGACCTAATATAAATGATAAATATGATAAAAAAGAATAAATAAACACAAAAATTAAGAAATAAAATAAATACAAGAATACAAAAACAAATATATTCAAATAAAAAATGAAATAATATAAAAAAGAAGAAAAATATAATATATAATCAATTATAAATATTATATGATTAGTATATAATATGTGATAAATGATAAATAATAAATAATAAATTCATATAATATAGATAGAAGATATAAAAATTAAATGAATAATAATAAATAATAAATAATAAATAAATAATAAGAGAAATAAAATGATATAATAATAAATAAAATATATAAAAGAAAAGATAAATAAAATCAATATAGTATAAATAAAATAATAATAAATATAAAAAGAAAGAAGATATAAAATATAAAAATATAATCAAAATGAAAATAAAATAAAGAAATGTATTAATATATAATAAATTATATATAAATAAAAATATATTAATATATAAAATAAAATATAAATAATAAGAATATAAAATTAATAAAATAAGATAAATATAAAATATATAGATAAAATGATGATATATATAATATAATAATAAAAATAAATATAATAATAAAATATAAAAATAAATATAATAATAACATAATAATAAAAATATATACATACATTGAATCAAATATCATTTCTGAATCATTTATAATTCATAACAATTTATCATAAAATGATATAAAATATAAATGATTATAGAATGATTATTTAATTTAATTTTTAATTTTTATTTTTTTAGGAGCAAAATAATAAAAACTATTATTTTATTGATGTAAAATATTTTGCCCGAAAACAGAATATTCCATTATGCAAAAAATATATTACACTATTTTCATTTGAGCAATTTATTTAGATGCATAATTTCTTCGCTTATTTTGTTTCCCATTTATAAACAAATAAATAAATTACATAAAAAAAAAGAATAAATGAAAGAAATAAAGAACAAATGAGCACAATCAGTTCTTTTTACCTTTTAATTGAAAAATTAATATAATAAAAAAAATAATAAAAGAATAATAAAAAAGAATGAAAACTAGATTTTACTTCGTTTACTCAAAATAAACTTAAATTATTATTATTATAAAATCTTTATTATTTTAAATTATTATATTAATATTAACTACATTCTACTTTACCAACTGTAGTATTAAATAAAATTATGATTTTATTAAATCTTTAAGAATTTATAAAGATTTTATTGAGTTATTAATATTTATTATCTTTTTTATTTAAATATTATATAATATGTATCAATTTACAAATAGAATAAAATAATTTTAAATTAAAATAAGTATTTTAATAAACATAAGATTTAATTATAAATTAAGGTATGTGTTTTGCTGTTTTTAGTTCAACATATCCTATCAAATAATTGAAAATTATAGAAAATAGTTCGATTCAAAAAGGTTAAATAAAACTACTACAATAAAAGCATAGAAGTCAATCAATATTAAGAAAAATATCTTTAATTAGCTAAAATATAAAATTGGGCAATATTCAGTGATTACAGAAAAGTCAAAATATTAAAAAAATGAAAGAATAAAATACTGTCCACTTTGTAAAAGATAAGATAGCAATAGTAAAACACATTATACTATCTTGTATTTGTCATAAAGAATCATAAATTGAAAAATATGATTATATTGACGTCATCATATTGGTTAATTAGAAAATATACAAGAAATAATCAATACAAGAAATCTCAATATAAAATAATATTTTAATATAAATAAATCATCACAATATTAAATATACAAATAATTGTAAAAAAAATTGATGAATGATATAATAAGAGATCATATCTATAGTAGATTAAAAGAATAAAATTGATCTATTAATTGATATGACTATTATTATATACCACAATATTAATGGAATATATATAAAGAAAAGAAATATATAAAGAAAAAAAAAGAAATAGAAAATAGAGAAATTAAGAGATGTAAGAATAATTTAATAATAATTTTAATTATAAGATAACAAATCCAGAAAGTATTAGATTAATAAAAAGAATTAAAAATGAAAATATAAAAGAAATCAAAAAAACCTTGTAATTAAAAACATAATGAATATCATAAAACATTTTTTTCTATAAAACTAAATCATACTTCATAAAAGTACTAGATAATAGTGAATGGAAAGGATTATCTCCACTGAAAAGAATAATAAAGAATAACTTTATTAATACTTAATTAGTTAATTATTATTCTCAATTTATAAAATACAATGATTAAATATAACATAAATAGTTATTAATAAATAAAATGAATTTTATTAGAAAAAGATTCTTATAATCAAATTAAAAATTGTTAAATATAATTATAAGTATAATATATCTACTGAAATAAATTATAAATAATTAATAATAACAAATTAATACGATTGTATAAATCAATAACACTTAGAATATAAAAATAAAAATTATAAAATTACTATCAATATTAAAAAAAAGATAAAGTATTAATAAAAACCAAGAATAGAAAGAAATATAAACAAAAATGAGAATATTAATTAAGAAATAAAAATAATATTAAAGAAATTATTAATATTAAATTGATTAAATGAAAATTTTATTTAATAATTAGAAAGTAATAAATTTAATATTTTATAATTTTATATACAAATATATTTTGATTAAAACATTAAATATTAATAAAATATTTATTATTTATTTGTTATTTTATTAAAATTATTATTGAAATAACTTTATTATTAATTACTTTGAATTGATATTTTATTAAATGTATAATTGTTCTATTATTATATGGTATTAACTAGAATTTTAATTCTTAAAATATTCTATATGATTTTTACTTCTTTATATTACTTTTATTTATTCTTTATGATCATTATTTGAATGATTTTTCTCCTGTTATTATTTTAGTTTTTTGATAATTATTATAATTAATTTCTGTTAACTAATAGTTTCTATAAAATAAAATTAAATTTGTATAAAAAGTATTTATTTTAATCATCTGATATTTCATATACTTCTATATCTTTTTGACTTTCACTTTTTTCTTCTTCATTAAATTCATTATCAGTGTAATTTTCTTCATTCTTATTTGAAGACGAACTAGTTTGGATATCATTGCTTTTATATATGTGGAATTTATTATTTTTAAAATATGTTCCAGTAGTACCATCACTCATATTATAATATTCATCTATTCCTCTTTCATCAAAAATTTCATCTTTATCTGTACTCACTTCAGTATTATCATTACACATATTTTCATTATTGTTATTAATAATATTAAACTCACTATCATAGTTCTCATTTGAATATAAATCTTCAATCTCACTTTGGTAGAGTTGGTTAACTTGAAATTCAATCTCTTCCATATCATCACTTTCTAATTCCACTTGATTAATTATTTCTCTGATATTTAAATTTTGATTAATAAGATTTTCTATTTCCTTTTCAGTCTGGTCTTTGAGGGTTTTTTCTTGAGAAACTATAGTTTCTATAATCTCTTTTCTTTGTTTTTTTATTTCTTTTATTTCCATTGTAATTTTCTTATTTTCTTTTTCAATTTCCTTCAGTTGTTTTTCTTGTAATTCAATGGCTTTTTTTATTTCTTTAACCTCATTCCTTACTTCTATCTCTTTATTACCTTGGATTGAAATTCTATTCATTTGCTCAATTAATTGATGTGCCTCTCTAATAGCCTGAAGTGTGAGATGAATTTCTGTTTTCTTGTTGACCATTTCATTAATTCTTTTTTTACTTTCATTAATTTCATGAATGCATACAGAGGTTTTATGTTTACATAGTGCAATTTGTTCTTCACTTCGGTGCATTTCTTTTTGTTTTTTTGTTTTTATTTTTTGTTTTTGAGGGAAGAACTAACCCTGAATCAACACAATCATTCTTCTACATGACAAACAACTCCATCAGTATTGGTAAGGTCATTGCACAAAAACTTTCTAATGAAGAACCAAGCATCAGAGATGCAGGATGGAAAGAAGCAAAAGAAATTTTAATGAAAAAAGACCCAAATGAAGAAGATATAAAAGATATTTGGATTGGAATTTATTTTTGTTTGTTTAATTATTTCATAAGAGAGAGAAAATTAATTAATAGGGTATTGGCATAGTGATGGAAGAGACTATCAAGAAAAAGTAAGAAAAGAAATTACATCAATAATGAATAAAGGAGAAATTGAAAAACAACAATGTATTTCATTTGTAAAAATTGGGATGGAAACATTAGAAAGATATTGGGATGAAATTGATTATGTTAGAATTAAAAAATATGAAATGTTATTATGTCAGATGATTCAAAAATATTTATATTTTATTTCACAATATGGATGGAATATTGAAATGATTAAAGAATGGAATGATTATTTATTAGAGCATGTTGTTCCACTTCAAAATAACCCAATTTCATTAGCATTTTCAACAAAAGTAGCAGACTATTATTATGATTATCTAAATGATGTCATATACATTGATGAAGCACCAGAACCAAATGAAGAAGCTAAAAATGAGTTAGCAAGATTATTAATAAAATATTTAAAGAATGGAAAGATTCAATCCCTTCACAAAAGTTTTGAAGAAGCACGAGAAAGATTACAAACAGAATTATATCATTACATTAATTTAGGAGATATTGTTAAAAATTGTCGTGTTAGACTAGTCAAAGAATTTAATAAAATCCCATTACTGGGATGTGGAATGGAAAAAGTAGAGAAATTAAGGGCAATAAAACAAGAGAAACGTGATAAAAAAAAGAAAGACAAAGAGCGTAAAGAAAAGATGAACAAAAAAAGAAAACAAAAGGAAGAGAAAAAACCAAAGAAAGTTTTAAACTAAAATAATTAATTAAATATTGATTTTATTAATCTTATCTTATTAATTAATTTATTGTACTTCTATTTTTTTTTTATTTATATAAATTGTTTTTCTTTTTTTTTTTATAAAAAAGTAGAAATTAAGTTATAGATTTATTTTCTATTGTCCTTTGCTTTAAAATTGTTTGTTCAACAATTAGTAGCTTATTATTAACTTTTAGTTGTTGAATTCTGTGATTTTCTTTTCTTCTTTATTTATTCTAGAATAAAGTATTTCAGATATCTCTGACTTAAATATTCATTATTTAATTTTTTGTTTGGTTTTGATGAGTATTAAATTCTTCTTTATTTTTAAGGAGAATATATAATTACTATTGTATTACTATGGGCTAATATTCTTTTTAACATCAACTATTAACCCTTTTTCTTTGATATTCCTTTATTATTAAATACATTTGTATCCTAACTAACAATAATACTATCATTATAAATAATCATTCTTTTATTAACAATGATATTCCATTATCATAAATAATAAACATTAATATTCTTTGAATATTGAATAAGATGTTTTTCTAACCAAATGCAATATCATAACCAGAATATAATTAGTGAATTTGAAGAATGTAAATATTTTAGAATTTTATTTAGTGTCTTTAATATGCAATATTCGAATCTCTTTATCTAGAATTGTCAGAATATTTTAATTTATTTTATATTATCATTTCACTTAATTTATTATTTATTGATGACTCTTTTCAATACATTCATATTAACAACATAAGTTAATCAATTTTTAAAAGAAGGAATACTAATCTTTTGTATTGATCATTTGAGTATGTCTTTTTTATTAATTTTATGATAGATTTCATAGTGTTGTAATATTGTATTTAGATTATTACTTAAATGATTGAATCATTGTTTTATACTTTTATTCTTTGTTGATTTCATTATTCTCTGATTAATAAACTTAAATTTTATGTATAGAGGTGTTTTGTAATAATTAGATGAATAATTACAATTAATTTATTAGAAGACTCAATAAATAATAATTAGAATTATTGTTATTTCATGGAGTGGTTGTATCTATTAACTCTTTTTGAAAACCATCACTTATATTGAGAATTCTATTTTTTTTTTTTAATTTAATTTTATTTTATAAGTAAATTGAGTTTTCTTGTATAGAATTCTCTTTTTTTTAGTTTTGAACATTTTTTAGTTAACAATCAAAAATTACAATATCAGATGAGAGTTGTTAATTGTTATATCTTTAAGTAAATCTCTAATAATAAGAATATTATTATAATTTAACTCATCTTTGAAGAGTAATTCAGTTAATCCCCATTTAAACAAAACAAATTATTTTTTTCATATTTGAATACAGAATAACCACACTTATTTTAATATTATTCTTTACTAAAATAATGTCTTGTTAAATAATATAAACAATAAAAATATTGATAACCAGTTTATTTCATTAATATTATCTATTATTGAAAACAATCTTTTAGTTTCTCAATGAATATTAGTAATTATTGTAGAATATATTTCGGCAAAGAAAAAAAGGAAATGAGAGAAAAATGAAGAGAAAGAATGATATAAAAGAAAAAAGTGAAATTAGGAAGTAGAAGAAGATGAAAGAATAAAAGAAGAAAATTGAGAATATAAAATGAAAGAAGATAAAAAGGAATGATTCAAAAAGTGATAATAAAATATGAAAAGAATGATGAAATAATGGTGTATTTTTATTATAGAAATTAGAAATATGAAATAAAAAAGCGTTTAATTTTTTGATGTAAATTATTTAACATTATTTTATTGATATATTTTATTTTATTCATTTTTATTTTTATAATTTTTATTTATTTTTATGATTTATTAACAGTGTTTATTATATAATCAATTATAAATGTTATATGATTAGTATATAATATGTGATAAATGATAAATAATAAATATTAATTTCATATGATATATATAGAAGATATAAAAAATAAATAAATAATAATAAATAATAGAGAAATAATAAGAGAAAAGAAATGATATAATAATAAATAAAATATATAAATAAAATAATAAATAAAATCAATATAAAAAATATCAATTAATAGATATATCCACAATTGGATTTTATGATTATTGAGAAGTGATTGTTTCATTGAATTCAATATGATCTATTTCTACATTAGAGTTCACTTCTAACATATGAGAATTAGAAGGTTCCTCTTCTAGCGTGTTGCCAGTGTTGAATGTGTAGAACATTAAGTCTTTCATGTTTTTAATAATGATTGTTCGTAGTATTTTGGGGAAGTCATTTTGTAATTTTAGTGTCTTTAATCTTCTTACTGTTTCTTTATGTATCAATCCATTGATTGTTAATATTACAGGTATTATTTCTACTTAAATTATTTCTCTATTTTATATTAACTTCTCTTGTAATTCTTTGTATTTATTTATTTTGTAAATATAATTTAATTCAGTGTTTCTATCTTGACATATGGCGACATCATTAATATATCATTTTTTTTCTTTGATGTTTTGATAATATATATCTTGTCTTCTATCATTAAACGAATGGTCACTAACCAATAAATCTTTATTGTAAGTTATAATCATTTCATTATTATTAATACACTTAGGAGGGGCATTAAAATCTATTTCATCAAATTCATTAAAATGGGTAATTAAATATGTTTATATATTTGTTTACATACATATTCATGTTTTGATATTTGATTATTCTTCATTACATCCTAACAAAATGTGGCTAATAGATGGAATTGTGATAGGACAATGTTTACAATATTTTAAAGCATCACAATTGAGTATTTTAGATTTAATAATTCCTGTTATAGTTACTCATTTTTGCATTTTTACGACTTGGAGGAATATATTTCTTTTTATATTTAATGACATCCATGTGATTACTGATAATTTCTTATTATTAAATATACAATTTACATTTCTTATATATTCACTACATTTCTTTCAATTCATTTAAATATCTTTCATTTATTTTATTTGTTACAAATTCAAATACTTTGCTTACATCATGTTTTATTTCATTTATTTGTATTATATTCATTCATTGAAATTAATCTTTCTTATAAAATGCTCTCTTCATTCTTTTAATTATTCATTTTGGATTCTCTTTTACTGCTTCTATCATTTCTAATATTTCTGTATTTGATATTTATATTTTAAATATATTCTTAATAATTCATTACAACATTCATCTCGTGCTGACATTAATCTCATTCATAATTAATTTATTGTAACATATAATCTACTTTTATTGATGTTTCTACTGTATAGTTTGAGTTGTATCAATGATTTTCTTATTTGTTTATCTATATTCTCAAACTCACAAAGTTTCCATGGGACAATACAGAATCCATATCTTAATTTGGAGATTATATCATTATTAATTTTTCTAATTGTATTGATGCTGCTATATTTCATATTATTTAATGATGATAGAATAGAAGATATATCATTTAATATTCATGTATAATATTTATTAATATTTATTTTATCTCTTATTTCAATACCAAGATATTTATAAGGGTTATCATTAGTTACTCTTGGTAATTCAGCTATTTCTCCATTTATTTGATTATTGATATTAGTCATTATCCAACTCTTTTCTACTTTTATTTTTAATCATATTGCATTAAATATTTCATTTGTTAATTTGTGGGATTTTTCCATTTCTTCGAGGCTGTTAGTTATTATCTTTAGATCGTCCATATATAATATGTGGTTTAACTGGACTTGTTTTTTTTTCTCCATTCATTTTAATAGATAAATTATTAATTTGTTTATCTAATTATTTAGATAATATAACAATAAATAATACAAATAATAATGGAGATAAACTATCATATTGTATTATTCATCTTTCTACATTAATTATACATACATTTTGTTGATTATAATATAATTATAGTTGTGTATTATTTAATATATGTAATATACTTTTAATTACAACTAATGGGATGTTAA